AATGTGGATTTTATTTCTAAAAAAAAAAATGCAGCATTCACAATATAAACTAAAATAAGGCATCAGCTGCTACATTCCATTATAACTGCTCCATTTTGTTTTTAAAACTTGCTCCTCTTTTATATTAAGGATTTTTTTGTTTTATAAACCATGCAAAGGCAGTCATACTTAACAGTTCCGTTTCTATTTGGGTCAACTAGGCAAGATTATCTTTCTTATTATTTTAAAAAAAAATTTTGAAGCGCTGTTGAAAATACATTTGCATACTGTGCTGGTTATACAATTAGAAGTAACCCCTTAAAGATTGATGACATGTATGGAATGTTACATTAATTGGCATATGTCCGCTTACTGGGGGTTAAGGAGGAGCCATTAATAGTGATGCAGGCAGCAGTTTAAAATAAAGTAACTTAAAAAATACATATCTATTATTTTGATTTTAACATGGGGTACAAGTGAATCCTATGTAAACACACTAATGAAAGGAAGCACTCAGTCAAATGTCATAATTCTACAACAGGAAGGAAGCACAAACCACGGAGGTTTGTAAAACTGAGTTAATGTGAATTTGGCAAACAGAGCGATGTAGAGTCACCTGGCTGCTGTTTATGCAGCTATTTCAGCCTTCGTCACATCTTGGCATTGGCTTTCTATATCCGCTTCCCTGTATGCCTTGCTATTTATATGGTTCAATAAATAGCGCCCACAGAATAATTGCAATTATATTCTCGATGTATTCATGGAAGGTGCAGATCTCCTGACAAGATGGTTTGCTGTGTAATGGGCTTAGACATACAGGTTTAAAGCTAAACATGTATGCATGGTAACACAAAGCTGAGATAATTTGGGAGTTTTTTTTTCCTGTGTATTACAATTATAGCACATTTAAAATTAACAATTCTAGATCAAGGCTGTCCCTCTAGGGTACTGCTGTTGGCCAGATGTGACCCACCAGAAATGATCTCAGCTGCCTTAAAACCAAGGAATGGGCCCAAGTTGCGTGAGCTTGACTACACTACGATCACATTTATTTCCACTTGAAAGGATAAATAGATGTCAGTCCCAGAGGTGTAGAAGGAGAGACCAGGGAGAATCATGACATATGTCCAAAAACTGCATTTACTAATTACTATAATGTAGCTATCAAGGCATGGTGTAGGAGAATTCTACTGTTGTCCTGGATCATTACACTAGATCTCCCGAATCAAATGGAACAGAACACCTGGGCTATTTGGTCAGCTGCAACTCGTATAGTTACTGCACTGCTCCCAAATGGTCTAAGGTGCTTTATTAAAAACATTATTTTAATAAGGAACGCATAGAAGGCATGGGAATCTTAGCCCGAGGTCCTCTGGTAATATGCCCAGTTTCCATTGAGCGGTACAGTTCGGGTCAGTACGGTCTGGTACGCTATTTAGAGTGTTTCCATTATGAAAGTGGCCCATACTACCGAACCAAACCGCACCATTCTTGGGCCCCCTTTAGATGTGGGTTCAAAGAAAATGGTACGGTACGGCTGAGGCGGAGCTACTGGAGTCACACTATACAATCCATTAATTGAAGGATAGGAAAATGTCAATGCTCGCGACAAATGACACGCAAAGCATTTGGTCTTAACCCTGCATGCCCCCTGCGGTCCGACTTGCAGTGGAAACACTCACCTGAATAGGCTGGACCATTCCAACCCTTCCGAATCGTACCGACCTGAACCATACCACTCAGTGGAAACGAGGCATAAGTAGAGGCCAGAATAGATTGTATTTACAAATAGGCTTTTGCATAGTTCTGCAGCTTTATAAAAAACCACATAGTTTCTGTTCTTCTTAGCACTTCTAAATAGAGGTAATACATACAATGCTTTTGATTCCCACTGAAGAAACATTTCACTGTAGTCTTTTTCATATGTAGTTAATAAAATATTGCAACTAGTTGCTGCCTCCTACTGATGATAATGGGTTTTGCATATTGTAACAATGCATTGAAATTTTGTGTGTGTTTTATTTTTAATTTTTATTTTTTTTAGGACAAAATAGAGTTGATTTATTTTTTGGGGCAATTCCATTATTATGGCCTAAAATGTAATTGCCATATCAATCAATTTCCTAGTTTAGTGATTAAAAGTATCTGTGCGGGGTGGGGTAGGAAATCAGAATACATGTATGCGTGCCATTGTATACCTGTTCTCATTATCTGTATTCGTTTACTGTTCTATTAGACCTTCTATGTGTCAGTGTATTATTGGACTTACACATTAAACGTTCAAACTTTTGTTCTCAAATGTACCTGTTTTTAATTCACGTAGTATAAAAATCATAACTTTTGCGACGGTTTATAAAAGTCAAAATGACATATTGTGGAGAGATTACATAGCTGCAAATTACATACCATGGATAAAATTATGATTCTGGGGACATCTGAAATTCACTTAATCTTATGTCTCATCGTTTATTGTGACATTATATTCACGTAATATATGCTTTCCCTCTCATTCTCTCTTTTGTGTTTAAGTACCCTCCCTCATTAACACAATTCAACAACTCTCCATTTTATTCTACAGCAGATTATCTTCTTATAGTCAAAGTCACATAATATATTTATTGAATCACAACTCGAGTGATTACTAATTAAAAAGAGAGAATTAAAAGTGCAAGTTTTGCTTTTTGGAGGTCCAATATGGCATCCTTGAAGTTTAGCATATGAACAAGGAGAGTAGGTGTTTAAAAGTGAACCTCTGTGCCAAGGTTAGATCCCTGAAGCTGTTTGACTTCCATGGTGGTATCTTTGAAAAACATAGTCCACAACAGCTGGCATATCAGTGGTTAGCCTTTGCTGATCTACCCACGTTACTGAGGCTGTGTGTTCTGGCTCATTTTTGCATGTTGTCCTTAAGTAACATTCAGTCCGAAGATCGACCTCTTATTTTGGCGTGCAGAAAAACTAGGTCAGAGCGAGATACACTGCATTTCCATTTCAGTCTTGCTCTGAGGACAAACTAGAAGGCAAACCTGAATAATATGCAGAGTGATGCACTTAGCTTGTGCCTTTGATTATTTCTGAAATGTGTTTGGACAACACCAGCCTGTTCTTAACGTTTTGAATGACTTATAAAATTTATATTCATTAATCCCTTAATGAACTTCTGTGCTGCCATAACAATCTATTTATTAATGATCCTGTCAAAATTGAATAACACTATCAATCACTACAGGGCTGAACAAAGCTCAATTAACAGGTCAAACCATGCTATCATATGGTCTTTAGATATCAAATAGTGATTATGGCAAAGGGTATCTTTTGGCCCTGAAAACGGAGCTGTCTAGTAGCATAAAACTAGAAATTTTGAAATTGATTTGTGTCACCCCTATGGGTGGTGTTTGTGTATTCCTAATTCCTGGGTGCTCTGTCAGTGGCTTGGCAGTCTTAGGGTCTTTAGCTGTTCCTAGAAATGCACTCTTCTGGACAGATATTTTGGATGTCCCACCTGGAATCTGTTGAAGCCATTCTCCCAACTTGGGGGTCAAGGCCCCAAGTGCTCCTTTCACGACTGGAAGTACTACCGCTATTACTACCCACATCCTTTCTAACTCCACTTTCAGCCCTTTTTCTGTTTATTGGGGTCAAGGCCCCAAGTGCTCCTATCCCAACTGGAAGTACTACTGCTATTACTGCCCACGTCCTTTTTTCTGGGTATTGGGGGGTATTGTGGGCTAGGCCCCAAGTGCTCCTATCACAACTGGAAGTACTACTGCTATTACTGCCCACATTCTTTATTGCTCCACTTTCAGCCCTTTTTTTTTTCTGGGTATTGCATCCACCACCACTGCAGTCTTCCATTCATTTTTGCATTGTTGTTACATACGTAGATCACAAAAGCCCAGCTTTCACCAATTTCTGATTACATGCAGGAAGTATGCAAAGATATAGAATCAAATCATTCCGAGGAGGGCTAACTGTTGCTTATAGCTGTATGCATAAATGTGTATTGAACTGTACTCCCAGCATGCTTTGTTCCTGCAGAACCTGAAGCCAGATTAAGTGCTGTCATCAGGGGAAATAACTCCTGACCATGAAATTACCAGGAGCTTTGGTATTCAGGCTATTGAATATACTAAGGCATTATCTGGAAGGACGTCCAAGTGGAGAATAAATGCTGAACTCCATTGGAGTTAAATTTCTTTAGATTTTATTCAAGCAAAGTTGTTCACAGCACTAAAAAAAAAAGCACATTGGTGCAATTAACAAAAAATGGAATAACTATGGCTGAGAGAGTAAAAGAAACAAATACTAACAAAAAAAAAAAACCAATCAATGATGGACATGTTTCATGCTTTGTCAATAGACTAGGCACTGAAGCGCCTCACGTTTGGCTGATAGCATTCCTTAATGTTGTATATAACTTTGTGATATAATAATAGGAGGTCATGAGCTTCGTCATCACCTTATCAAACTTAGCGGTACAAGTAACCATGTGCTTAATATTATAGCAATACTTTGTCACGGCTAAAATTAATGCATTTCGTACAAACCACTAATCTAGTCCCTTTTGGGTCCACATCTGAGTAAATTATCAAAAACTGAAAGCTTCCAGCCTGTATAACCCCAGGTCAGGAGATCAGCTAGTACTGTTAACCCTAAACAGACTATACTGCCAAAACACCAAAATCAAATGCCAATAAATACAAAAGTAAAACCACTATCAACTAAATATAGACAACAAATGCATATTTTGTATCTGCTCACAACTTGTCCTGATTTTGTATCTCCAAGATGGTACGTTATGAAGATCAAACTGTTTTGTTTTTTTTAATTTGAAAACCAAATATATTAACTCTAGTATTAAAACACATTTCTGTTTAGTGTAAATTGTTGTCTTCACTAATGATTTATGTGAGTTTTCTAATGATGCTCTGTTATGCACTCATACTCCCCAAGAATTCTAAGCTTTGAGTAAAGAGGGACTGAAGAATTAAATCAAACCCTTTATGTCATATCTTCCCCAAATTTCTGTCTTTAGAAGGAACGGTCCTTCAGACTCAAATTATTATTTTACAATAATAAAATAATTATTTGAGTCTCAAGGAAAGACTGTTCCTTCTAAAGACAGAAACTTGGAAGATATTACATATAGGCTTTAATTTAACATTTTTGGATAGGATTTTCAATTGATATTTTTAAAAAAAATGAAATAAATATTTAATATATAACAAACATATTAATATAATATAAATATTTAAATATTTTTAAAAAATTTAATTCTGTTAAAAGTCCATCCAAAAATATTAAATTGAAGTCATGGTAAATTAATCTTTGAATGTAATGTGAATTTTTTTTTCCCCTTTAAACACTGGGAAGATTGTAAAAGCTATTTTCTTCCTGTCTCGGAAAATCAGCAACCCTGATGGTGGTGGAAAAACCTGTTGGGAAAGAAAAGCACAATCTTGCACCTATTTATTTAAAAAAATATATATATATATATTCATTGTTAGTGATAACATTGTTTTAACATCTGTTTAAAAAAAAAAAAAGAATAAAAATTTAACGAGAAATTAAAGTGACAGTAGAGATGCAGTAAGGAATATTTTGACGCTCCATCCTAACCTATAGAATAACACCTTTTATGCATAACTACCAATAAGATTTTCAGTGCTGTTAAAAGTAAACAACCTCTAGAATAGAGTGTAAACCTTAATAAGCACAGGAAACTGCTCTGACATACTTTCTGCTCGTATACTAAGCATCCATATCTCTTATCCAGCACTGCTCTCCTGTGGTCATTACATTGAAGTGCAGATTGGACCTGCACTTAATGATATTCCTTGTACAGACCTCATATTTCACAGGGGTTTTCAAGCTGTTATTACCTTCATATATTATTTGTTATTTTGTTATAGTTGATGCTATATCTGTTATAGTCAGTGTTTGTTTAAAATAATGCCACTTTAAACTTACTTATTTTTTTACTTTTTTATTGTTTTACTTTTTTTTTTACTTTCACAAATTATTTTCAATCAATGAAAAAACAAAGTTGTCCAACTCTTCAGAAACTGCTTCACTTGGTTATCGAAAATAAGCCTTTTGTGTTTTATCACCGAGGTAGACAACCCTTGTCACTCTAGAGGTCATGGACTACACCTCCCATGATGCTTTGCTAGCATTATGGCTGTTAGAGCATTATGGGAGATGTAGTCCAAAAAAATCTGGGGGTGCTGAAGCTTGCCTACCCTATTTTGCATAGTTTCTTTGTATCAGTGTCCTCACCACAGACCTTTAAGGCATGTAGTATTACATTATCTACAACAGTGATTAGTTATATTGTTTTAGTTAATTTTGTAATGGCTACCTAATTATATATTTTTTAATTGACACTTCTAGCCCCCCACCCCCCAACTCTCCCTATTTGTGAGTCCTGTCCTGACTTAGTTTCCTGGTGTCCCCAGCTAGCATAACACAACCATTTCAAGAGACACACTATGTTCAGGGCATAAGGACCCTGCAGAGAGCACAGAAACAGTGCTTCCTGCAGGATGTGCTTTCCTTGGGCTGGCCTTAGATGATTGGAACGTAACCTGGCGTGCATTCCAGCCATATTTATGAATAGGGCCACACCCTTTGGGGTGGAGCCAGTGACACGATTGCATCACTGGCCCTCCCCCTTTTACCTTTTTCTCACCTGCGTCCCACTCTCTGACTGACAAAATTGGGAGGTATGAACTTACAGTGTCACATTTTATACCTGCTACTGAAAAAGCAAGCAGTAAGAATCTTATTACTTATATCTCGTGTAGTTATGGTTTCCCGTTATTATTCTTATACATAAGACCAGTCATTTATCTTGCCTAGGAGTTCTGCATATTCAATCCATACAAAAAACATGCTTCTTTTCAGTTTTTCTGAATACTGTATTGAATTCCTCACATATTTGAAATAGAGAAACTCTTATGACACCCATGGGAAAGCTAATATTAATACAGCTCAGTAGATCATTGGCCGTGGCTTATACCAGAGATAGAAGTAATGGAGTGTGGACTTGGGTGCAAGAAAAATGTTGGGTTCCCCTCTAGTTCAATGGTGACCAAAAGGTAGATTCTTGACTGTCATACAACTCACACAATGCGTTCCCAGCTGGGGATTTACCATGTACATTGCGTGTCTCTGTATGGTTATGTTTGTGAGCAGTGTTTGTATGCAAGCATTTTTTGTATTTTATGTTTTTGAATGAAGGGGTGTATTTGTATGTACTGTTGCCATTTGATTGTAGTGGTGTATTTGTGTGTAGTGTTGGCATTTGAATATGGGGACGCGTTTGTATATAACATTGGCATTTGAATATGGGGGTGTGTTTGTACAAAACATTGGCATTTGAATATGGGGATGTGTTTGGATATAACATTGGCATTTGAATATAGGGTGTGTGTTTGTATATAACATTGGCACTTGAGTATAGGGGGTTGATTGTATTTAGAGTTGGCATTTTAATGCAGGAGTGAGTGTTTGAAGGGATTTATTTGGCAAATGAAAAGTACACATATACACTGACATACAGATACACACACGTATGCACACACACAGTCAAACATGTCGTACTTCCCCATTTTTAGTCACACTCCTAATACGACAGGATCATGATTTTGATGACACCAAATAATTGTTTAATGAGAGATTCCCGTTAATTCCTTCATTCTTATTAGACTTCTGATAGTAGTTTTTCAATAAAAATGTATTATGGTGGCTGATCTTAATAATGCAATATTGTATCTTGTTTGATATAGTTTAAAACACCTTACAGTTTGTAACAATGAATCCCTGACTGTCAGCAATTTGTAATGTGACTATACCATTGACCATTTAAAAGAATGTACTTACGTTCTGTTTAATTACGGAACAAATTAAGAATTGAGTGGGTATTCCCTTCGAATATGGATATATGATTTATCATCTTCAAACTTGCATTATACAAGGGATACACTATATCTGTGACATCACTTATGTAAGCGTTTAATAAATTATCGTACACAGATTATTAAACTTTTCACCGTCTAATTCACTTTCGTAAGGCACAAAGAGCTGCAAAATGGGACTAAATAATGAATACTATTGTATTAATTTCCAACTCCCTCAAGCATTTTTTATCTCAAAATTGGCAATAGTATAGAAATGTAAAGTGTTCAAAAGAAACTTTTAAAATTGTCATTCTGTTTGGAATTTTATGGGTTATATTAAAGTAGAACTGTTTTTTTTTTTTTTTGTTGTTTTTTTTTTTACTTTGGCATCTCACATACCTCTCCACCACCTTATACTTATTTTTAGGTAGGAACTACTTTCCCTTATGGATAACTCAAACTTGACAATGGATGGCAAAGTTTACGATTTACACACCGCACTTCTCTCTCCACGGTCGCCCCACCTCCGTGGCTGAGATTATCAATGTTTTTCCCATAGGAGAACGCTGCACTGTGCCAATCAGATGGTCTCTGAGTGACCGCAGCTAGAAGCATTTAAACATTGCTGTTCTTTTACAAAGGCAGTGTTTTCACTCCTGTGACATGGCACTCAGATGTGTCCATTTCATTGCTTGGATTTCAATCTAATTTAATGGGCATTATATTTTTTGTGTGTGTGACACTCTCTGCCATAATATTATTTTCTTGTATTGTTCAATAACTATTTTAACAGTATTATTATTTGTTAGGTGTAGGGGGCATTACATCTAATATTATATTTTCAGTTTATAGTTCAAATGAAACATAGTGTATATATATTTATAATGTGTGTAGAATGTATAGCGTGTACATGTGTGTGCACCCTGATCAAAGATGCATACCATCTGTCTGTCTACATAGTACAAATATTCACAATTTTAAGAATCAGGTGTTTACTATAGTTAGTGTTTTTTGCATTTATAAAAAAATTGCATTGTTTAGGAGGAAAATAACTTCAATGCCTAAGTTATATTCAGTCTCATATTGAGGTTTTTGTTGACCCTGCAGTTCCTCAGGCGAACACATTAATAGTGTGAATCCTTTTAAGAAATGTATTGTTGGGTAGAGGTAAAAATCACTAAGGGATAATGGACTGTCATTCAGAATGAGTGCTAAGATCAAGGCTGTGCACCACTGATACACGTCGCAGCAAAGGGTTTACTTATGCTGTATGTCCCACAATAATGGCATCTTCACAAACTTTTTTTCAGTCTCCTCCGTCAATCGACCTACAGTTCCCTGAAAAAAAAGCCTGCATATAGCATCTTCCTCAGTGGGACATTTTCAGTGTTTTGACATATAGTGGTTGCTGTTCTACCGTTGGTCCTAAACAACTTGATAATATATAATTTTAAAAATTATTTATTATAATGCAGTGCTTAAAGAGACACTATAAGCCCCCAGACAAATTCAGCTCATTGAAGTGGTTTGGGTACAGTGTCACTATTGCCCTTAGTCCTGCAAAGTAAAACAGGGTTCGACAAATCCCAGGCTCCAGGGTCGCCATGGCTACTAGGATTTTTGTCCTGGTGCCTGGAATTTGCTGTCCCATTTAGCCCCGGGTGGTTGGCTGCCTATGAGTGCAGGCGGCTGGCCGGCTCATTAAGAGCATAGGTTTACGTGCGGTTGGCCGTCAGCTTAGGAAGAGCATGGGCATGCAGTTTGTCGGCCTGCTGAGGGAGATCATTGCCATACGTGCAAGCCATCGGTCGGCCAGCTGAGGGAGAGGGTGGGTGGGCATGTGCATGGGCGGGAGGCTCCTGGAAGATTGAGCCAAACGGTTGTAGTGGTTCTGGTGACTATAGCTCTTTAAGAATTGCATATTTTACATTGAAAATCCTGGCTCCTAACTTTATTTGCTGGCTCCTAGATTCCTTTCAAATTTGTAATGTAAAACATTGCATTTTCAGATAAATGTTTACATTGCAGCACTAACTTTTATAACTTATTGTAAATGCCATCTATTGACTATCTACTTTGCAGTTTTCTAACCATCTGGTATGTCTCATATAATACAATTAAATGTTTCTTCCCTTAATAGAGTTAAAAGCTCAAATTGCAATATACTTCCACCACACCACACCTCTTAAGTTTCCCTATATTGGAGGGACCATTCCTATGTTGG